AAAAAGAAAGTCGCTGTCGCTGTCTGTCCCTATGTATGCTTAAATCTTTAAAAGTATATAAGCAACGGATTTTGAAGCGGTTTCGTTAATAGATAGAGTGATTCAAAAGGAAGGTTTTATATATATAACACATGTACACCCGTGCGAAGCCGGGGCGAGTAGCCAGTATTATATAAAAAAAATATTGTTTTAGTCGTGCCTAGCTAAGCAATTTTTAATAGATTTATTTAATTTTAAATAATTATAAGACATGTTTAGCTTTGCGTACAATATTTAAAAGAATATAATATACTTTAGAAGTAAGATTTTTATTCAAAACAATATATGTATACTCGTAACTTCGTATGCATCTATATTTGCGATCGCCATCTATTGATGGTAATCAAAAACAACAACCAATAAAGCATCCATGCTACGCTTTCTATTAATGAATGAATTATTAAAAATTTACACAAAACTAACTATTGCCACTGCTATATTTCCCTATCCTAACTTCAGCGTATGTAACTAACCTTAGTAATAATATAATTGTTTTGGAACCAAGTAAAAAATAGAAAAAAAAATTACCATTCATTTACAAATGGGGAAAATATGCCGTACAAGAAAATCGTACATACGAATTATGAATTCCATCTGTCTGAAGTTTGTTGAAATTAGATATATTAAGTCAAAAGTTTCCAAGTACATAATATAATTTTTTTAAAGATATCGATGTTTAAAAATGAATTATGAAAAGCAAAAATGATACACCTATGAATAAATCTATTTCATTCGTTGTAAGAAGTAGCAAATCATTTGGAATGATAACTTTGTTTATATACGATTCCGACAGTTCACCCAAGTAGAAACCTGTATCTTTCATTCTCGTATGATATTTACAGATCCTTTCTTACTTAGTAAAAAAAAGATTTTGAAGTTTTTTTATATCGATATTTTTGTTACAATACGTAATCGTTATATTCTATGAAATTATTTACTAACATAATGACATTATTTACTGAAATATTTTCAACTATCTTACACGACAAATAAAACAATAAAAATATTGTTTATTCCATTAAAAAATGCAAGGGATTTTGTCTTAAAGAGTGAATACACTGTAGAAAGGACTTGTATTTTTTTGTTTGGATGGCTAATGAAACTCAGCATTGTGAAAAACTCTATTGATGTAAAATGTATACCTAACTAAATAAAATACTTTCTGACATTTAAAAATAGAAGACAAAGTTTAACGAAACTTGAAGTGTAATTTCCTTGGGATTATAATTGGGAACTTATAATCTATATAATTAAGTCAAGCCTTGAAACAAGAATACACTGTCGCTAGGCAATTTTTAATAGATTTATTTAATTTAGTTTATTATCTTTAAAAAATACATTAATCAAATATGTTTTCCATTTTCTGTAATAAATCTTTATACTATAACATTATCAATCTATCGGTTATGTAATTATTATTTAGAACGTTTACTATACTGAATACTCTTCCATAGAAGTTGGAACGTTTACTACAACAATACTAGTTGTATGTACTATTGCTAGACAAACTTTATCAATATTATATATTTATTTAACTATAGTATACATTATCTTCAAAAAAGCCTTTATTAAGATATTTCTGAGATAAAACTCTTATTATATTAACAACCTCTTGGTTCTATAATAATATTAGATAAATTTCAATTAATTAAAATTAAATTTTAAGTTCACTTAAAATTTAATAATAATAAAATAGAAACTGAAACTGAAACGTTTAAAATATTCCATTTCTCTATTAGCTTAATAAATACTCGTTCAACTTTATATAGATTTAGGACGTTGGGTTATTATAGGGTTTAGTGTCGAATTTTCATAGTTTATGTTCACATGGCTTTTAATGTGTCTCTAAATGAACATAGGGCATTGTCGATTCAGCTCCTCATATCATGGGTCCACAATCGCCCATTGACTATGTAATATGATCATTTAGTCGTAGTCGTTTGCATATGTTAATACAGTTTCAGTATTCTATTATATACGTATATTATGTACGACCTTCCCCTCTTACAAGGTATATAATAATAGTTTCGTCTTTACTAAAGTTTTTATAACATAAAATATTGTAATAACAAGAACGCTATGCTCACTCTCTTTTGGTGTTATATTACAAAGACTTTATATTGGCTTTTCTTCAACGACACATAAATCCCTTCAAGAATAATGAGTATAAATGTAATTTTATTTTATATACCAAAAGGAACTCCAGCAATATGGCAAACACACATATTAAGCAATATGGATTTATTCAAATGTATGCAGTAATTTATTAATATATAATAACTGGTTACTATCTGTACATATGTCAAAATATTTTACAATATCTATGTAATATCTACAGCTAAAAGAAGACATACTCTGGACATTGTAATAGTCATATACACAGAAGAGAAACGTCATTCTTTGATACATAGTCAGCATGTACTTGGAATGTTTACTTCCTAAACGCCTTTTGACCTAAATATGTATGAAAAAATTTTGCTGAATTCATCCAATAAAAATACCAGATTATGTATTTGAATTTTTAAACTATTTTATGAATCATGAATGATATAAATTCAAAGAGTCTATATTTAACCACCAAACGAGTATACTTTCATTCCTGTGACGTTGGATTGCAATATGCTCGGCGAAATCGGCCATATCGAAATTCCTTTCGTTATGCTGAGCGTATTTATTTTTAACTAAGTTACTTCCTGTGAGTTCGTCTGTGTGGAATTACTTAGTTCCCATCGTTATGGGAATTTCTCATAGTGCTATTTGATTAATTAATTTCATTTTAAAAATTTAAATAACGTATCGGAAACACGGCTCCCGCTGACATTTAAATATTTCTTAGAAATGTAAGGCTACCCAAATATGCACAATATCCATTGTTTACTACATTTTTAATTACTTGATTGTGTAAATTTAATTCGTATTTTGTCAGTTATTTTTCCATAAAGATATAGTAACACCATTTTAGTAAATTGAAGTAATATTTTCAATCTACAAATTTGTAAATCATTGATGACGTCTCAAGCAGAATGAGAATGTTGTTTCACTGAAAATCGATTATGTAAATGTGGTTGGATTTTTGTTGCGGGACGCGAGATTAATAACGAACGTCGGGTAGGATTTGTCACCCTTCCCAACAGTTGATGTTTTATAAAACGCACATTGTTTTGCATAAAACGACAGCTTAAACGTACTATGACATTAATCATAATTTGCCTTAGGTATTAAAAATAGCATTACTTGTTATTTATTAATATTTAAAATTTTTAACGTTTTATTTGGTAGCTTATAGTCAGATTCCGATTAGTAGGTAGGACAATAGCAATAGTCTTTATTCAAAATGAACATTATGCTTAAAGTGTATTAGAATAAAGACTGCAGGCAACTGCAACATTCCATATTCATTCTTTAAAAAAAAAAACTCATAGGTAGTAAAATAAAATCGTAACAAATATTTTCGCCGTAAAACTATTTTAGAACATAAAGACCAATAAAACATGAAGGTATTATTCACAGCGTACCTTTTACATACGTTCTAATTTAAGGAGTAACAATGTTCGTCAGTGTTAATCAACGTAATAAAAAATAGAAAATATAACGTATTGAGTAATGGCACTGAAAGATTATCTTTAAAATAATAACTATATTTTTAATATTTAAATGTAACTAATCTTTTTTATCTTTGTACTAACTTGTAGTTAAATTAGAAGAAGTATATACCCTAGACTAAAATTGTAATGCCGTAATGTGGTAAACATATAAAACATGTTTTCGTTGTACATTTGAAAACATTTTAACTTAATAGTAGATTTTTCCAACGACATCATCAGCGTGCTTAGATTTTGATTGGCTAGGGTATAATTGCTTAATAGTTTCTCGCATCCTATATATATGTATACAAATAAATAATTAAACAAAATCACTGTTGTAATATTCATAATATTAGTAAGAATTACTATTAAATCTTGTTACAAATACTATAACAAACTTCTGTCTGTACAAATATTAGAGCTGCATTGAGTTTCGACTAATAGAAATTGTGTTGGATTTTGTTTACGCTATCAAACTTCTAACAATTTGAATCACAGTAGTGTAGTAAACAGTATTTGTATTCGATAAAATAAGTCAGAGCAAAACTTAGGACTTTAGGAATTGAGGAGAAGATTTTTTTTAGTGGTTAGATAAGACAATTTACCTTAAGTTTTTTATTTATTGAGGAGTTAGTGGTTAGATAAGACAATTTACCTTAAGTTTTTTATTTATCATATACATGTAAAAATAATTTCCGCACAATAATTATAATAGTTCTTAAGCTAAAAAAAACAAACAGTAAACTTGAGATTATAAATACAAAATGAAAATCTGATATTCAAAAGAAATCAATAGCTTTATGTAATATAAAGTAAAATTTATTGACATCAGATACTCTTGAAACAAAAATTTGCAAGTGATGTGAAGTAAAAAAAAAGAAAAAAATGCGGTCTGATATTGTGACGAAATTGTATCGTATTGAAGATTTCTTTTCCTATATCTGACTATTTGAGAGCCTGGTAATCTAGAAATACTATTCAAAATGTACAGAGGGTAGTGGCCCAGTGGTCTGTTACTCAACTTAGACACAAAGTATGCAAGTTCAAATCTTAGGCAACACCAAACAAAATTATGTAATTTGAGAGACGGCGCTTGGTGGATAGTTCCTTCTCTGTCACGTGCTATTAAATTATCTTTACGACGATGGTTAACTGTGCTTCTGTCTACCTCATATAGCATAACAACCATGAAGATACAATTTCATTGTTATTTATTAATCAAAAAATTGTTGTTACAGAAACGAATCGTAAGATGAGCACGGGAAATCGTTCTTACTTCCATCTGACCCATTTCGGGTGTATTCGGTGTGATATATGGTTCTGGACGCAGTAATTCTAGTTAAGTGATGAACAATAGACCATTCTACGATAGTCACAATGTTAGCGGACGATAGCAACCGACATAATGTAGTCAATACAACATACGGGTCAAATTTCTCATACGATTTGTTTGATGATCTAAGATTCATTACACTGCTTAAACACAGAGAGTACAATCAAAGCGCAAGCATTAGCGAGGTTCTGAAGGCGTTGGAAGATTGGAGGAATCGCTATAACATTTCCATTGTGAAAGAGTGTGACAGGTTGGAATATTGTAGTGGAGAGTTTAGAGACTTGATTCTCGCTTACAACAGTATTCATGGCTACGTCAGTCTATTAGTAAGTCCTACATTATTATCTGTTTTATTTTTAACTACCGATCCGCTCCAGCCTCACATTGCATGATAATATTTTTTGAAATATAATGTAGCACATGTTACACGTATATTACGCACATAATTTTTTTTAAAAACTAATCTACTAACAAGAAATCAATCAATTTGTTTAAGATAAGGCAGTTCAATTACAGGATACGGAGGTATAAAATCTTAGTTCTCCGTGATCGGACGATAAAATAAAATTTTAACCACATAAAATAAAATTTTAGATAAAAATATATAGGCAAATGTTCTAGATGTCATGTTTTTAACGCATTTGTTTATTAATTAATCACCAGTGTTCATAATAATTCAGTGATTAAACATAAATTAACTGACAATAATTTTTAATCCTAACCAGGTTTGCCTCTTTGGAAGTCTAGCAAATATCCTGAATGTGGCTGTTTTGACGAGAAGGGATTTAGCGGCGGCACCTATAAACAGACTACTCAAATGGCTCGCTGTTGCTGATGTATTTGTCATGATTGAATATGTTCCTTTCGCGATTTATAGATACCTGGTAAGTAATTCGTATTTTAAGTATTATTATTTATAAGTAGTAGTTAATAGTCACCTAATTCTATACCAATATTTATATTCTTATCTTTAAATAAACGTATTGTATCTAAATGCGAGCTACAAAGAAATCTTAAAAATCGCCAAAGACATCTAACTTGTACACAAACAGAGACAACAAATTATGACAGTGACCTTGTGCTTAATAATTAGGTATTTCTATATTTACCATTGCTATTACTGTAAACGTTATAACTTTATCTGGGAGAATTGAAGCGATTCCGAATACTGTTAATAGTATTGGTATTTCGTAGAAAATAAACTATCTGCAATTATTAATATCCCAATAAAAAGTTGTCCACTTGAGAGAAGGAAGTTCGGTTGCATTAGGAAATATATTATTACTAGCTGTACCCGCGACTTCGTCCGCGTAAAATAGTGACCTTGAGCAATTAGTAAAAAATATATATTAATAATCTAACCCAATAAAAAAATTTCATCGTTCTAGCTTCAAAAATGAAATTTCTATACATAATTCCATACAATTCAATCAACAGCCAAAAACTAATAACTACTATATATTCCAACATACCATACATACATTACATCTCTTTCAACCCCTTATAACCCTTTTTCTTGTTTTTTTTAAACTTATAAGTGTCATCATGTACCAATGATATTACTGTAACCATTTATGGCTGAGTCCTGTGACGGTAGGTACTGATATTTTCTCAACAGCCTAAAATATGGGTTTCAAGTTTCTAGCTTTAAAAAATGACAATACATGCATACAACATTTCAACTCCCCTTTTGACCCTTACAACCCATTTTCGTTAATTATATTTAATCAATACGCAAAAAAATAAGATTGAAGCTTAAACTTTTAAAAAATTCCTCTTTCAGTCTCTTATAACCCTTTTTAGCATTAAAAAGTAACCTATGTCCTATCTCAAGATCTAGACTTTAAATTTCATTTAAATCAGTTCAGAAGTTTTGGCTTTTAAGACAGACAGACAGAGTCACTTTCACTTTCATAATATTAGTAAGGTATTTATTAAATAAACTGACCCAAAAAAGCGTAAGAAAAAAGCTTAATCGTTCTAGCTTCAAATATGACGAATTTCCATAAAAACTTTTATCTGCTATTTTATTTTACCCCTTGAATGGTGACAATGTGATATTTACAAATTTAAATGTCATATTTATTTATATTTAATAAACAGTTTAAACATTTCTTTAAATTCTTTTGAAAATTGGTGGTCCAGTTGGCCAATAACATAATAAAATTTTGTTAAATCAAAATAATAGATGTGATATTCTAAATTGCAAACTATCCCTCTACTTGCGCGAACCATATCTCTGACTCTACTGGCCAGAATGGAGAAACGCGTATTCCGAACCTGAATAGCTCGGATGGAACGGTAGATGTTGTTTCTTCCAAGGAAATGTTGTTCATATGTATTGACAACATTTTTAATATTATATGTTGTTTTATTCTTCAAAAATATTAATAATATGTTCTTACGCTCTTGTCCAAGAGCAGGGTCATCAGTTATATATACCAGGATTATATTTATGTATTTATAAAATAAAATTGCAGAACAAACGTTTATTCATTTAAATTCATAAGGAGACAACGGATTGACAATAATCAGTTGCGCGCGCAACAATACAAATGACATATATGTTTATTTATGACATATGAGCGTTAATAAGTCGCATATCTAGTACAATACTGGTGTAATTCAGAAATTAAAAATTTTTGAAAATAGACTTAATAACACAATTATAAAGTAGACTTTCCAAAATATCTAATTTTTTAGTTAAGCCATTATTACAATAAGTGTGTATTCAACCGCATAAAGATAACCTTGCATTACCATTTTCAACCCCTTACAACCCTTTTTTCGCATTAAAAAGTAGCCTATGTCCTTCCTCGGCGTCTAGACTATATGGGTACCAAATTTCATTTAAATCAGTTCAGTAGTTTTGGCGTGAAAGCGAGACAGACAGACAGACAGACAGACAGACAGACAGAGTTACTTTCGCATTTATAATATTAGTAAGGATTACGTAATTGACACTCGGTTTTAACTTTTATGGATATTAAAGATAAAATATATTAACACATAAAATTCTTCTTCACTTAATAAAAAATGAGTATATATTATAATATACACACCGAACTCTACCAAGTATATGTAAGTACTTGCATAAAATATATTAAGTAATAAATTTAATGGTAATGGATAGCACTCAAGCATAATATTAAAGAACGAAAGTACATACGGGCTCGAAGACTTACATGCTTTTAAGAAAATTCATCAGATTATTCTTATACGTTTTCTATAATTATAATGAATTTGGTTTCGTAATTTATTAATTACAACAAATATTTTGTACATAATAAAACATTTTTTAGAATCAGGACCTACATTTATCCTCACTGTTTTTTTAGCCCTGACGTAAAACAGAGGTGTTATAAGTTTGACGTTGTTCTACATCGACGTCGGTTGGTTCCTTTAGTAGCTACGAGTACGAGTATACACTCGTAGCAACTAAACGAATGAACCGATTACGATACAGTGACTTTTGTTTGAGATGTGTTCGAGATGATTCTTGGCTTCCAGTTATGAGATCTGTATAGGCATTTCCAGATTATCAGGTCTTTTTATTATACGCGTAATAGGATTTTTGAGTTCTTTTTGTGCTGAAGGTTATTTGAAATGTTTATTTATGTATTTAACTTGTGTAAGATTATTTTAAAAAGTGTACGTGTCATATTTCCTACTTGTTGCAGTTGCTACCAGGTCAAGAAGACTGGCCATACTCTTGGGCAGTATACATGCTGTTCCATATGCACTTCACTCAAATCCTGCATACTGCATCCATACTGCTCACTCTATCATTAGCCGTCTGGCGGTACATAGCTATCAAGTATGTAAGAGCTTTATTACTTTCTTTATGGGTGTAAACAAAGTTAGATAGATAAATACTAGTAACCTGCTACATCTACACTCAGGTGCTCATAATTGTGTGAGTATTTATTGTAGCGCGATTTTTAAAGCGTCGTGGACTTTTTTTCACGAGGGGAAATGTTGCATACAAAACCGCCCCGACCGGTTTACTATCATTAAGACCAAGATTTTTAATCTGGCCGATACAAAAAAAAGTGTGTAGGATGAGTCGTAGTGGGTGGTTATGTGTGAGTTTATGTTTTACATACATACATTAACATAGTACATATAATATACATGTCGCTCTGGAGTAATTGTTCAGAAGCTTACATTCCCAATAACAAATTTTCATTTTGTCACTATATATATATTAAATGAGTATCCGTAGATTTATATGTCCTAATCCTTATCTTTGAATACATATTGTTATTATTAACATCTATGTTTCTATTATTTTTATATATCATATAGGAGCCATACTAGTCACAAATTAAATTGTACTTTTTATATTTTCGACAGTTAACAAGAAAAGGGTTTTTAGTATATCTTCTTCCTTTTAAAGTCGAGTAAAAGGCATTTGCCTCTGATGAGTGTTGAAGAAGCTATAGTATACACTTAATTGCTGTTGTTCTATATATTACTTTATTCAATTAATTTAAGTTAGATACTTAGTTTTAAAGTTTACACCGATTTATCTAGATGATGCCCTTTACTTAAGTAATTTAGCTTCAAACTTTGCAGTACCGATAGAAGACTGAGTATGCTCATACGGTTAATAAGCAAAGTACATCTCTAGGTAATAGTGGTAATTAATTAATTAATTAACTATATATTTCTATATTCTGCATATTTTTTTAGTTTTTAATCTTACGAGTACATTAATACGTAATGTTTCGCGTTATACATGTTAAAAAGTAATTTATACATAAAATGACTAGGGGCCCGCCATGGCTACGCATGGGTATTATATTAGGTATGGTATGGATATATTATGGTAGGTTAATATATCGAAGTTTTCATATGATTACTATATTACTATATATCGCCTATGTACATAGGGTATTACATAGGATTCTAACGGTTAAATTTTTTTTCAAATAGATCCAATTGTTTCGGAACCTGTTCAATACAAACAAACAAAGAAATAAATCTTTCCTCCTTATTATTATATTTTATATAGACTTACTAAATGACGATGGAGAACATGTGATACACATTATGAGTCTTGTTATAGTTCAGGTGCAAATCCTTCTATACTTACAGGGTTGATATATTATTGTAATCCTGATTTACTACCTATTCTTCTCTTTAAAATAGCTATTGTTGCATACATATGTATGATATGACTTAGATAATTCGAAGTTTTACAGCAAACGATGAAGACGAAGTTAACCGTCTAACATTCTTATTGTTACAATTATTATAGTTTATATACTACGATATATCATCTCCTTCTTTTTAAATTTGTTATAATATAATATTATTATAATATATTTATTTCATGAAACATAATCTTATATCTATAATAATTTTATTATACAGATATCCATCGCACAGTCCAGCATTGTGCACGGATCGCCGCTGTTCTCTTGCAATCTTGGCCAGTTTCGTGTTGCCACCGATACTCTGTATACCTTCATATTTTGTAAGTACCATTATATTTTATCTATTAGTTATAAGTTTATAACTTAGGTATAATTTGTATACCAATCTAAATATCATTTGAATCAGTCCAGCAGTTTAAATTTGTTCATATAACAAACATCTCTGCAAACATTCATATTTATAATAAAACAATAATATAAATAATAATAATCATCTTGTAACTATTTAAATAATTTGGATCTTTTTAGGTTTATCAGAATAGAACAAATACCGGCCTGAACTTACTTTATAGAACAAAACGTGTAAGAATCAGTTATACAAAGAGTGACGCCAAGCGTAGCCCGCATTTTGCATAGTGGTTTTGAGCAAGACTTCAACTTTAGCGTTACTCTTAAAAAATAACTACATTCACTGCCTCGTTCAAATAAGAATCGCAATTATTACGGCTTATAGAGGTTTACCTACACCGATCCTGAAACTAAAATCATTCCTGTCAGGCATGAGGTAGGTAGCTTTTAAGCGACCGCGACGCGTAAATCCTTGCGCGGGTTAGAATAAGAGTCCTTCCGCACTCTGCCCTTTTTCTCGTCCGGTGAATTTGTAAAAGAAATGAAACAAACATAGATAGATAATACAATACTATGACGAGAGGCCGCCGACTGATAACTTTGCAGATGGAATGAATAATAGAACCATGTATAATATTTTATAACTATATAGACTATACCTACGACGTATATTGGTATTCATAATTTGACAATTTACTTAGGAAAATGAATATTATCATAAAATATTTAAATAAAATAATTAACATCCAGAGAATAAGAAGTTTATAACTTCTTATTGGCTTAAAAAACTTAAAAACGCAAGGAAATCTGTAAGTAATAAATAATAATTTTAAAAAAATATATGTTTATTGTAATACTATTTTTACTGTCTGTGAATATGGTATATTCCATTTGGTTAGTCAAAATATTTTTATGGGTTAAGAAAATTAAATATAATTTTCTAAATTAACTCAATTATTTAGTTGATAATTTTGCTACCAGAAATTTGATAATTGACTCTTAAAATACACGAAAGTAACAAACAAACATAAAATTTTGATAAAGTATGTATTGATATATATTATTAAATATAATCTAAACGTTATCTAAACCTTCCATTAATTGCTAACATTTTGTATTTGTCCTCTAGTATGATGTTGTTATTACAAACTAGTAAACGTAGTAGCTGGCAAAGGGTCCATTATTCTCATATTTCAAGTACATATAATATATAAATTTTGCATGACAAACTACAGCTAACAAATGACAACATTGTCTATTCGTGTAGCTGGTTGTGTATACATATATTGCCTCCTTCAATATATACCTGTATATATTTTTATTGTATCATAATGGAATGGTGGTTCTGCCTGCACTTACACAGACGGTGCACCAGTGGAGAATGATAAGATGTACAGGAGGTCAGGTTAGCTAGCCCTATGTAATAAATCATTAGAAATTTATCATGATGGTGTCCAAGGGGAACCGTATAGAAGTCAACCTCACATAGTACATTGCTAGAAATGGGGTCAACAATCTATACTGTCGACAATCCCCTTTCTCCTCTTCAATATATTTACCACTGCATTAGTGAACAATAAACTGATAAATGTTTGAAAATATGAATACCAAACGTTATTATATACACCAAACTATGTATTAGTATTTATTGAATAATACTGACGGCAAAACTCTTTGTACTATAGTAACTAAAATAGTTTGTTTATTTATTAACCTAAATTCCGTAAATATATCCAATATGTAGATGTTTATAACTAGCAACATGTTGGCTTTAAATTAACTTATATTATTTCAACGTAAATAATTCACTGATATAGGTACAAGGCATTCATAAACTGTTATAGTATAGTTAACAATTCTTCGTTAAGTGTTCACTGATTCGCTTCAGTAGATTTTAAAATCTCCTAGAAGAGTCCTTTTGTTTCGTTGAGTGTCTATATAAGTATTGCTGCTAGCTGTAGCTTACTTATAAGACCTTTATTGTAAGACGCCTTAAGACTTTGCTAAATTATATCGCATATACAATAGACAACTTTCACTGAATGTAAAAATAACTTAAAGAAACTATAAATTATTTTAAAAATAAAATTCTCTCCATTATTTATATAGTTAAATCGGCTCATAATTTTATGATAAATAAAAGTATTTACCTCTCTCGACGTTTCGACAAGATTATACTAGTCGTGTTCAACTCGTATCATAAAATTTCTATTACCATTATATTCATATTAAGATTTAATTAACTATATTTTTTTTATACATATTACATACATAAATTTTAAAATTATCAACCACAAGTCGTAGTTCCTTAAATTTTATATAACAGATAATGCAATTAATATTGTATAAATGTTAATACGAATAAAAAATATTTAATTATCATAATAAAAATATATTTTTTATTTTTATGAGGTCAATATTCAAAAGATTACTTCTCCTAAATACCTATCGTGCCATACATATTTTGTATCTCTTTATTAATATTATTAAATCTCGAAATTCTCGCCAGTGTTTATAATTCTTTGAGCACATCTTATCCGAGTACATGGTACACGGAGGTTAAAGCTGCAGATACTATTGTCTATGTTTTGTATTTAAGCGTACTTACACGTATTATATTACGAATCAAATGATTTACCACTTTTCTATAGGAATAAGGCATTTGTGACAGACAAAATACGGACTGTAATCCCTTTCCCAGAGGATCATTTGTAACAAGCATCCCACAAGCGATGTCTTTGTGGATTCTTATCGGTTAGATGGTTATAAAAATATCCTCTAGAATTTATCACATTGCGAAGAATTAAGTAGTTGATATTGTGTATAGAAAGTCTTATCACTAACAATTCATAGTTTGGGTTTAAACTAGCTGATCCGCGCAACTATCTTCGTCATATTTTCGTCGCTTTTCCAACTTTTTCAACTATAGCTCTGCTCCTATTAATCGTAGTGTGATGTTGCCTTTCTCGATAAACAATAAAAAGATTTTTAAAATTGAATGAGTAACGGAGATTACGCCAAGCACCTAGTTTTTAAAATCCACAATATACATATAATTATTTATTATAGTACTACAATAAAATAATTTAATACGTATTATGTATGTTTTTGGATAATAGGTACGAACTGAGTACCTATATTCTAACAATAATATCTGCTTCTCAGTGTTGATCAGAAAACGTTGAATATCAAAATTAATCTGATATCGTGGGCGGACGGCCAATAAATTAGGGCCCCCATAATTGATTACTACATTTACCTGTTTCCTTGTACTGATTGCTAAAGGTTAAGATCGAGAAATGGCAGATATAGTTATAGAAAGCAGAGGGCAGGGCATACCTACAAAATTTTGTGATAGCGTTATCTAATACATAACGCTATCACAAAATTTTGTTTTTAAAACTAATTACAATTAAGGGTATTATTTTACTATTTTAGTCAATTGATCTACAAGATGTAAAATAACAGTTAATTATATAATATATTACGCAATTTATAATGCACCACTTCTATAAGCTTTTATGTAAATGTACTTATTAAATGTTTATTTTACCCTTCCAACTTCGCCATGAACTTTCAATAAGTGAATCCCTTGTTTGAATTAACTTTTAATTTTTAAGGACGTAGAAAGAGAATTAATTATATGTTTAAAAACAGTTCAACATTATGAATTATTTATCCGAATGTAATAAGTTTATGTAAATATAAACATCATCATGTTTATTACTGTAGGTGGACTGTTTGAGAACGTAAGTTACGTAAGTTACAGTACATCTGAAAACTAGAATTTTCTGATAATGTAGCCACATAGCTTTCTACAAACGAAACAATTTTTAAAATTTTTAAGTAATTATTAAAAATTTATTTAAAATAAAATTTTCCTCTCTTTAAAAATTATTAGTACTGTGTGGCTTTACTATATTTTCTTTTTTTTGGATTTTATGCTATAAGTATATGTCCTAATATATTGCACATTTAATTCTGAAAAAATCACAATACGAATAGGCTATTTACCCACATGATGGTGTGACGCAGCTTGCCTACGCGTGGTCAAATTCAGGAAAATGATGGTACAAAAACTGATGAAATACAAATATCACGCTCTGTGCAAATGAATCTATAGCACGCAAACGATCTGACAGTTTTGTCTGTTCCATATACTGTTATACATATTTGGGCTAACAGATTCTATAGACGTTCAAATATTGGTGTGACGTTTTTATGGAAATAATGGATGTGTGTAAAAAACATTAATTGATATGCCTTTTAATAAGCTTTACTGCTTTTCCTTACTCTGTAGCAGATATATTTTTATGTGTTCTAGTTTCTCGTATTTTTTTTCCTATTCGACTATAGATAATAATTCTTAACTCTTCATAATTATTTTATTGCGAGTACTCCATAAGAAATAACAGGCTTAACATATACATATTTTATTTATATCCGACTCTAAGGGAATTGTAATTTAATTGCATATGTTTTATATATTTCAAAATTTTATGATTATGATATTAACAGAAATAGAAATGCCAACTGAAATATCTAAATAGCTAACATAATTATTATAACTATAACTATTAAAATTATTCAGTTCTTTGGAATTTTTTACATTTGTTAATGTACTTACAGTCAATTTATATAAGTACTATGGGGAATTTGAATTTTCCTCGTCAATCTAGAATAAAATTTACTAAGTGGTAGGTAAATATAGTCTCGATCTAGCAGTCCAATAATTTTGTAGCTTACGTGAGCATAAAAATAGTTTTTTCTCCGAAACCATAAGTCTAAAGAAACTTTGTTTTAATTTATCTCATAAACATTAATGTAGCAACTGAACTTTATTTGAGTGCCAAAACAAGTTACAATGTAGATACATAAGGTTTTCTAGAGTTCTATAGCGAGGTGAGCTAAAAAAACAGTCTGTTAAAAGCAGACGCGTGTAGGTATATACGTATTTACTCATTGCATTTGTTGCATTGAAGTAACACTCTCCATTACATATTAAATGTACACACTGTACTATTTTGAGAGGAGTTGTTTAAAAGTGAGTATCGATTTTACAATGTGAAAGAACACTACGTTAGTTTGAGCATGAGGAAAGGATGCCAGATGAAAAGGATACGCGAAGTGTAATGAAATTCTTTTTCTATAATAAATTTCGGCCGAACTCTCGATATTTCCTTAAAATTATTAGTTTTTCTCTCTGTCCCACCGATTTATATTTATCGTTTAATATCTATTCCATCGCAGACAATTTTATTCGATTGATTACGAGTCTGATAAAATAACATAAAAAGCAATTGAATACTCATTGTTCAGAATATTTGGAATTATAATTTTAGAACAGTCCCCTAGTTGTCGTTTGCTTCCAAAGACGGCGGTTAATCGTTTACCAACAGAAGGCACATAATGCTTGTTTGCCAAGCTATTGTTAGAAACGCAATTATAAGTGTTCCCATTATCGAAGAGGAACCTTCAAAACAACGTCGTATAAATGAACTATTTTTACCGAGGTAAACTTTGTACAGAATAGTCTGCGGATACCTATTTCTGCCGCCAAGGTTTGAAAGATGTGGCAGTGAAATTACCGGGTACGGACGATACTTTAGCCCTTAGGTATAACAATACATGAGATACCAGTGACGTCATTTAACGCGTTGCTGGTTCATGTAGGTATATAAGCGACGTTTGTTTATTTCGTTGCCAATTTAGTTGACAAAAGGACTGTATTTGGTACTATCACGTAGTGAATGTCGAATATTTTTAAATTACATGCAAAAATAAAATATATTCGTGATATTCTAAAGCTGTACAGAATTCCAATAAAACCATTCATGCGATCTACTCGGTTAAAATAACACGCTGCAAAATTGTGGCCAGTGTTTATCCAGATAAATATACAACGTTCGCTGTCAAGTTAATCGCGACAGATAAATGGACAATTTTGATTTGATTTTAGGCTTAATCATGCGTTTTAATTTTGATTTTGATGATGAACTACTTTTTTATGGTTCATTAATGGGTAGCAAGCTAAACAAATTTGTAATCGTTGCACGTTTTATGTATCCTGTTATTGCTTCTCTCAACTACCGTTATTATTAGTAATTAATATTCGTTTTTATAAATAAGCGCATTGTAATTTTGAGTTCTAATGAATTTTATAAATATATAATTCATAATGTTCATTAGAACTCAGCGAAGTTTAGAAATACAAACGGTGAAATTAAACGCGTCGCGTCGACTCATTAACAAAAAAAAATACAATGTTTGAAACAATAATATATTTGAGACCGGGTTTTTTTAATAATAATAAGACGTTACGATTTATAAATGTTAATTGTACATTAATTGTGCATTTATAAATGTTATTATTACAACATTCCTAGTAGAAACAGATTCTCCAGGATAATCGGTACTTTTCATAAAACAATACTTCATATATATTTTATGGAACTGTAAGGTGACGAGTCTGCATTTGGCGATATTTGATTTAACATGGAAAAAGCTAGAAAAATGTGTTAGAAATGAAGCCAGTTGAGGTCTGTAATCTCTACCTATCCTTAAGGGAACAATATTTGAGGTTATAATAATAACAATATTAAATTCTGTAACAGTGAATCCTCTTATTATAAATGTGAATGTCAATTTGTTTGTTTATTACGATTTCGCTATGTAATTATTAAATGTATTATCGTTGAAATCATAATACATATGTAGGTATATAGGCTGTGTGGGATAGAGATACATATCGAGTTACTTTTCGTGAATCAAGTTTCTCGGCAATATATTAATACAGAAAAATTTACTTGCATAAGTTATTAAAATGCCTGCAGGAATAAATGATTTTGAAAACTCCAGTCAAATGACAGTCCATGGATACCAGTGGCGTAATAACGTATAAACTCTTGATTTAATAATGCTTTTCTCTTGCAGGTTTTCACTATCCACAAGGACTTTACCATCGACAAAAATGGAAATATACCAACCAAAGTATATTACGTTGATTCGGATTACGACGGGACATTGTATCAGATAAATTTTTGGGTACACGCAGTACTCATAAAGCTGCTACCATGCTTTATATTGACTGTGATAAGTGCTTGGCTCATCCGGGCCCTTTATCGAGCGAATACTAGGAAAAAGGCGCTTAAAGGTTACAGTGCGTGTCCAGCTGAAACGGTCGTCAATGGCAACGGGAATATCTTTACAAGAAAATCAACAAAACGCAGCAAAGCTGAGAGAAGGACGGACAGAACGACAAAAATGCTGGTAGCTGTGTTACTGCTCTTCCTAATGACGGAGTTTCCGCAAGGCATATTAGGTTAGTATGGATTTAAAATTTATGAATAATTTGATATTAGTACAGTTATTCAATATTTTCAAATGTTGTTCTATCATAATAAATTTAAGTATTTTATTATAACATAAAAAGTACCCTGCCTTACATGTGTCCGATATAATATCGAAAACAACTGAACGGATTTTAATGTTTTTTAAGCCATTTGTAGGTAATTTTGACACAAATATTCAGTTATTATAAAATACCCGGAGAAGCTGGGGCAGAGCGCTAGTTTAATAATAAAATTAATATGTCACCTTACTATTTTGTACATTTTGATTGATATACAATATGTCGAACACCTGAGCAGACCCTTTTATAAGAAACCAAGTGGCAAATTTAGGTTTGATTTAGTTGAAAAATCACTTAGGTAGGTAATAACAAAAACAAAATAAGTTGATATATAAACGATTTTTCTTTGTAGTCTGTGAAACTCGGAGAAATGGGAGTTAAGAAGAGTAATACACGTGGTATTAAAAAACTCAATGAAATGAGGGTCAAGTCAGCTTGGGTTTTTGTAACCTAGACAAAATGCGAATGAAATATGTACTATATATATGGTTATTAAACATTTGAGATAAATACTTAATTAAAAACAAAAATCTCCAGAATTGCTCGACCCAGTGCTGCTATATATTGTAAAAACGACATCTAGAATGATGAGAGTGATAAAGTAAATTTTTATCATTAACATTTTAAAAACGCTTTAATTATGGCTTTTAATTATTGTTTGACAAATTATAACTGAAATACACAATAAAAGTCTTCCTAAATTATATTTTGCGTAATGAGATAAATAATTTCACTGTTGCCAACAAGAAACTCCCTTGCGACTAGTGGGAGTAACCTGAAACTTTTGTTATTAAAATTTGTTTATTTATTCTACTTGATGCTTTAGTAGATCGTCTATAATAAGGAGAGATTTTGAAATCTACAGGTCAAATATATATTTAATTCGACTCATTTACAAAATATAGAAACAATTTTTTGTTAAGTCTTTGTCAGTTATACCATGTTCAGGCCATGAAAAAACCTACTTTAATCGTACTATAAAGGATATTATAATAATACAATTGGTAATAAAGTGAATTTATTTGTATCAATAATGGAAACAATCAAAACCTATAAGTTTTAAAAAATTGATTACCTATTAAAACGTACAATATTAATGAATTATATAAAAGGATAAAGTTTATTATATTTGCTGAAGACATAGCTATTCTAGGCTAAGACTATTGGCTTTAATGCATGAACTATTGGACACTATAAATACTAGTTTTGAAATACATGAATTAGATATTAATACCAAGAAAACTAAACAATGACAATTGAAGAGATTGATGGAAAATCGTGGGAAATAGAAGCACCTACACCGACACGGAGGCAGCTCTTAAATTATGAAAGAATTAATATATTTTATATAAATGATATTGAGATCACCATAATAAGTGCATTCATTCATGCAAAACCGCGGCTAATCCCTCGACGTAAATTACAACATGCATAGCACAAAACCATTGAAGCATTCCATTCCCAACATTAGTAATTGATTGTTGATTATCGTAAATATTTGTGGTACGGAGCGGTTAAATACTCGACCCTTTATTTAACGAACCAGTGTCCTTATAGAATCTATTGAATCCTTCTGTCCCTACTTCATATAGATACATATATGTATATACATTCACAAGGTAATAAAAATCTTGTTGAACCATTAATTCACGTAATTAAAATCTTACTAAAATGATTTTTTGTGAATTTGAATATATTTTTATAAGAAATTTATAGAATATGCATGTGAAATGAATAAAATATTATTATATATAACGTCGTGGTTTCAACCTAGACTTAGACTTAAAAGTAGTGAGTACCAATCAGACCTACTCGAAAAATCTTTGTGTGTCAATTTATATATCTGACTGTTATTTCGGTGATGGAGACATCCATAACAATTCAAATTAAGAAAGACGCTATATAATAATAATAATAATAAATTTCATCGCCTCAAATTATATAATTCGAATTTTATTATATAAATGCTATATAGATATAGATTCGCACGCTGTTACTTGAATTTTGAATTACATGAATTTTGCTCGTAACCCCGGTTAAGGCAACGTAATAGAAACGTCGAGTGAGGTAAATACCTTATTTAACATTAAATTACTACTACCACAGATAACATAATATTACATTACTACTAACTGTAGTAGTAATTAAAGTTGTTCAGCGTGGACAATATTGTATTTTTCTCTTACTCTATTGTTATGTAAATATAGTTGTCGGTATTAATATGTTTAAGTATTTCAATAATTTGTACTAAACGGAAAACTTTAAAAATATAAATTTATTTCTTATAAAAGCATATATTTTCAATATGTATTTATCTTAAAATAGGTGTAATATCAAAACAAAGCCGTACCATAAACGTGGTATAAAAAATGTGTCATAACATATATAAAACTTTTGCCTTCCATTTACACACATAGGTCTCTTTACATTTTTAAATCTTAGATAATAATTTAACAATGTACGAACCGCGAAAATGCGGTTGAAAGATTTCAATGAAATTTTCCAGGCACATAAATAGGCATCCGCTCGACAAACTATATCAGAATTCAATAAAGCTTTAAATAAAATAAAGCACGCATGTGCATACAACGGTATTAGCAAAACTATTTTATGCATTTTTGTTAAAGCATCTCTATCATTATAGAAGACAGAGAGAAAGACATAGCAAATAAAACTTGGTATATACTTATATATAAATTATATACAGAAAATATATTATTATAACAAAATCTTTTTATTATATGTTTGTAATTAAGGTTACTATAATAGTAGTCTTAAGTATAATAAAGTACAAGGAGTATTCTCATTGAGTACTAGAATTAAATGACACTGAATATTTGCTACGATGGAGCATTTACTACACAAGTAGGTACTCTCATGTTGTAGTTATTCCATGTAATTACACAATTCGCAATTACATAAGTAGGTAGTCATTAGGGATTTGCCTAAGTGCTTGTTACATTTGTTTAAATGAAATGCTTCTCATTATATTGTTTTGTTATTGTGCTCCTGCACGCATAGTATGTATATTTCGTTAGAGGTTTAATATTCCAAAACTCCTATTCTGACAGATATGTATGTACTCTATTGGAATAGGTTTACGTTAAAGTAAAAGTATATATTTAATATTTATTCCTATAATACTACTGCTTATTATTAGTGATTCACGGTTATAGCTATATAGGTAGGTAGGTACTATATATTTCGTTCCAATTTCAATACCCTTAGGAAAGTTCTTTTATTTGTAATAATATGAAAAAGTAATTTATTCTGACTATTCCTAGAATTCGAACACAAAAGTCGGAAAGATGTTTCGGGTTGAGTAGACTCGACTGTTTTAATATTTAGGTTTCATTAGAAAAGAATTATTGTGAATAATTTTTCTGTCTAGTCTTGCAAGAAAATAATTTTGGACCCTTTTAGTAAATCGATTTCTTGATGCCCTTTACTTGATTACTTTTTTATTTCGAGTTATTAAAAAGTATGTTTTTGTAGATTTCTCAATATACCTGTCACATCATCATTCTCTTAATTGTTTATCATTTTCACCCAAATAAAGTGATAAATTATTAACCCATCAATAATAAAGTAAAAGAAAGATATAAATTGACTAAAAGTACATACATAACAAATGGAAACATAACTCGATATGTAATTTTAACATGTTCTATATGAATATACAATTTCCAGTCTGAGTTATGAGTTTAATGAACATTTTGTTTAATATAATATTATCTCAGGTCTTCTCAGCGGCCTGCTTGGACGCTGTTTCTTCAAACGCTGCTACAACTTATTTGGTGAGCTGATGGATGCACTGGCACTGCTGAATGGAGCCATCAACTTCGTGCTCTACTGTTCCATGTCCAGACAATTTCGTACTACATTCGGACAGTTAATTCGCAACCGGTGTGCGCCTACGCCCCGCGCCGGATCGCATACCGAACTGCAGACTACATACGTTTGACTGAAACTACGACGTCGTAATAGGTCCATTTTATAGTGATCATAATCTGTTTCAATCACGATGATGTTATACATTACCCACATTATATATGTATGTCGCAAATTACTACTACCTACTAGTGAATGAAATTAAGATATGATCAATAAAACGAAACGAATTTTAGCATTATGTAACATCGGCTTGGTCTTTATACAAGAATATAAGAATATATAGATCAGCAAGATCCATATTGGATATTCAAAGACTCTTGGTACGTCCAGATCAGCAGATTCATTATCTGCTATGAAAATGGCGAAATGAGTCAATTCGCCTAGATGTACAGTAGACACAGAACAATGTAAGAATCGTAGACCTGTTAGTATCTAATGTGTGTATATAGATACTAATATAGCAAATTTAGGATTTGATGAAATTTTATGTATATAATATTATATTGTTATTATAGAAATGTATATATTTGTCTAGGTTTCACAAATTATGAAAAACTATCCAAAAACTGTCAACGTATGACATGTCATGTTTATTTAAAGTTACAGTAACTTAAAACTGTATTTTAAATATCACATAATCATGTTTGAAATATATTTTTGTTTGAGGTTTGCCTTCTATCACTGGTAATGGTATATTTATAGATTTCTGAAAAAAATAACCATAAAATAAAGAAATACTCTGTGATGGGTGATATTTCTGACCATCGATTACAAATATAAAAGTATAGTCTTAACAAAGTAGGTCTATGCTTTGTTTCGCTTTGTCAATAGTTGTATACCTTAATAGTAATTAAATCAATGGGAATTTGAATTGTTCTCCGCCCAATTAATAATGACAATAAAAATTATAAACGCAATTATAAGAGATAAGACGAATTTATTACGTTATTAAATAATTTAATAAAAACTGAACTTGTAAACACATAATGTTTGTGAATTCGAATATATACATGTACCTTTTAGTATTGACACTGTCGCTATTTTTTTTTAATTGGGAAGCTTTGTAGTGTGTTTGTATCTATATGCTTCTAGAGATATTGCATAGGAATCTACATACTGTTCCAATCTCTGTATGGCATAAAGAGTTATTATTGTTGTTATACATTATTTATACAGAAACCTTTTGTACAATAGCTTTAATATTGTAAACTTGTAAAAGTTGTACTTAAAGTTATATATAATAATGTTGTAGATTGTTTAGTTAATTATACATTTCTAAATATTAATAAATTTTATACAAGAAGAAGAATAGATAACCATTTGAACTTTGTTAATTTGAATTAAATTAATTTCTATAGAAATCTTTTGGTATGAAAATTATTAGATAATTAAATATTATTTCTATAGAAAGCTAAACATGTTAACACTAACTGGTTGGTTTGTTTGTTTATTTACAATATATTCTTTGTATTACGAGTACATCATATTTTTCAGTTCTTTTATATCTTTTGAGATATACTATTTCAAATAAATATCCTTTAAATTTCTTAATATTACGAGATATTTTTAAGATTCATATGTTTCTAGCCATTTATTGTGTCTCCCCACGCAAATGGCGATCTCTCTCTGCATACCTAAGAATACGATAATGATTCTATCAAATATTTTGATATTTTCGAAGCATACATATTGACTCTATCGACCATTCAGCGAATTGTGACATTAGAACTTATCACAAGTAATTGTCATTGAAAAATGAAAATCTATTCTTCTTTAATAAAAGTCTATATTATTTTTTCTCCATTAATTAGAGTTTCAGTTTTCCTATAATACCTTAAATGTAGTAAGCAAACAAGCAAACTTTGATAAATAGTAATATCTTTGATAAACATCTAATAATAGTTTCGTAATATAAAGATCTGATTAAGTTCTTGAAAATAAACGAGCAACTAGACAAGTTGGTCAACAAGTTGTAAAGTCAATCAGAAGATGAAGGTTAAATTTGCAGCAAGTTATTTGATCGATATCTAAGGTTAAATTAAAGAAGTTCTAATTAATTTTAATACAATTTTTATTTCATATTGTCTCTATTTAATATTATAGTCTATTATAATTATAAAGATTGAAAACGAAATTTATACTACTTTTAATTATATTGAATTTTTAGAACATATGTATATACAATGAAATTATAGATAGAAAGAATTTGTATATAACTTTTTTAATATTATATCTGATTTGTTATCTATCTATCTAACATGTATATAATGTTTTCTTCATTTGATTTTGTATATAATTGCCTAATTTAATAATAGAACAATATAATAAATAGAATATTCCGAATTTTTTTATTTACCATAATATGGATGTATAGTTTGCTCATCAGTCAGGCTCGTTTATACATGTCACTGTCCTTTCCAATTTTGTTATTCAGCCGAGGGGATGGACAGATAGTAATAAGTTATTGTTATCTTTGGGCTTGCCAAAATAAATAAATATATTCGCTGAGTGGGGCGTAAAATGTCCATCAAGAAAGTTATCGGGCGAAATTATCAATCTGTATGGAGCTTCAACAATATATGGCAGTTATTGCTTGTCCCGGATCCCGCTGACATTTTTTCCGACCATAAATTGCAGTCGCTGAAGAAGGGTCGACATGTTCTGTACGAATTTACATAAAGTTGTTCAGCGTGGACAATATTGTATTTTTCTCTTACTATTGTTATGTAAATATAGTTGTCGGTATTAATATGTTTCAGTATTGTTAAGTAATATTACTAGTAATAAGCATTTGGGTATAAAACATAAGTCATATTATATCTATAGTAAATGTAAGTTAGCATTATTACATGTTGTAAATATTAAAATATATATATATTATAAATTAATGTAAGTATTCTTTAAGTAAAAATAGTGTTGTATGTCGCAAGTAAAATTGTTTATAATCAAATACTTACAAGTGTAATATATATGTATGTACCTAGATATAAAATGTATTAAGTGTGAAACATATTTATTGTTTATACCTAAATAATAAATAAATTACGTTACTGGCAATAATTATTCTCAGACCTACCAAAATACACCCAAAAATTTTTTATATTACATATATCAGCTTTATCTCACTGTGAAAACTTACAATACGTACACTATAACTATAAAACCATTAGAGAAGCGTTATTAGTAGGTTTATTTATATAAAGACATAGCACAGTAATTTTTCTTCAAACCAAGTTTGCGGGCATGGATTAAGTAAGCCTTTTTACTGGGTACAGCTTTCGAGTGTCACTGTTATAAATGACATTCGAATTTTAACTCCCTTAGGTCTTACATCACTTAATGGTCGCTACACACGACAGAAATAAAATCAGGAGCAATATCGGAACTGTAGTAGGTAGCATCCAGTATAACTTCCTAAATCGCCTCGTTTGTAGCAAAGTCCGAGCCCATTTACACATTGGCGCCACATATTTCAGATTTAGCCTACACAGCACGTGCCGTCATCGCCGTTAGATTGGAAAATTGGTAACTACCCCCCGTCCTCTTGGAAATGCGCCAAACGAATCCGTGCTGTTCTCTTTTTATTTGGAATGCTAATCTAGCTGAGCGGATTATCTGATGGTAAGAGGTAACCATCGTCAATAAACATGAATAACATCACGTTATCGTGTGACTGCCGCGATACCACTCGATTCTAGAGGAATATAATGTTGTGTCTCTTATCCTGTAGTTGCAATGTCTAATCTATATCATACAATCAAAACACAGCTTACAAAGCAAGCTGCATGTCAGCTGAAATAAACTAAGCAATTTAAACACTAGTGTTGAATACTACAGCTGTACTTCGGCTACTAGCACCATCACCACCACTGCTTTCACATTCCCTGATCTTAGTGTCGTGTGTAGGTTTTAGAAGATACACGCCCGTGCCTGTAATATTCATGGTTAGCATAATAATAGGCAGATTTTACGGAACACTTGATCCCCGAAAAAGACTATCAATCATGACAAAATTTATATGTAACTAACAAGGGAGTGCGCCTAGATGGCAAAAAGCATCAACGAAATTAATTTACTTTTAGTGAAGATACGTCTTCACTAAGGTACGTTGGCAAAATACGTAAACACGTAGTATATTTTATTGTAACAAGCATCAAACATCATTATTTTGAAACGTTTTAGTTTATTATATTACATTCTTAGTTATATAACTAACTACATATATAAAAAATATCGTTAGATTTATTGAATATAATTCAGACATTTCTTTTATTTTAACTTTTACAGGGACAGATTTTTTTATACCACAGTGATGGCTCCAATCCAGCATAAGGTCTATCTCTTGGTAAACGGTCACCATAGCATGAAAAACACCTTTTAGTAATGGCACTGTCATATATTGCCAGCACCGTCGAATGCACCGTATGATATTCAGCGTAGTAAATTACTACATTAAATTTAACATGTACAGAAGATATTAATACAGTTAAATGGGTTTTAACATGAATAATTTTATGGATGATAAAGGTATTTACCTCTCTTGACATTTCAACTTTAGTGAATTATTTCAATTTAATTTATCATGACATTATTTGTGTTAAAAGCAGTTTAACTATGTTAATGACTAGCTACCCATCCAGGCTTCGCACGGGTGTACATGTATTATACATAGAAACCTTCCTCTTGAATTACTCTATTATAAAAAAAAACCGTTTTAAAATCCGTTGCGTAGTTTTAAAGATTTAAGCATACATAGAGACAGACAGCGATAGTGACTTTGTTTTATACCATGTGATGATGATGATGAATTATGTACTAAAACCGTAAGTTTAGAAATAAGTATGGACAAAAGTTAATTCCAGCGCTTGCAATCTTTTGAGGCAACTTATAATCACTGCACTATCTAGAGATCAGCTAGTTTAAAACTGTGCAAACGTTTGTTCCATTATAGCAAGGTTTTGGTTAGCAAAGTGCTCGGTATTCTGGATTTATCACAGCGCAATCTAGTTTTAAATTAAACTGAACTTGTACTACGATAATAAGCTTATTACTATCAGAAGGTCTTATGAA